GCAGACGATATACCATTGAAATGAAGTGTAAAATTATGAATGAATGGCTGGCTACTGGTGATTCATCTGAGACGATACCTCAAAAAGCACTCACACTCACACACACTCCTGCCAGATGTCACCATCCTTATACGCTCAACAACACATCTGCACTCAACTTTCCATCAATTCACAGCTCATCATCTTCTCATATCACTGAAATTACCCCTTTTTGTATTATCCTATTTTCTAAACACACAACTAATTCTGCACACGTGTTTGTTCACTATTCAACATCAACTTCTAATGCTATTATACATTCATCTTAAACAAATTACCTATCATTTCACTTAATGACTAATTAGAATATAAAATGAATGTTTCCAATAAAAAATACCACAAAAAAGTCCGTATTAAACTGAACGATTAGGAATTTCATCATAGCGATTAGAAGACAGACGTCTGATGATTGCGAAGCTAACAACAGACAAAATGGTTCACTAGAAACCGTCATTCAGCACCTCAACCTACCTACACAATTCAACGAAGAAATAAGAAAATAAACTGCTGCTGCTGCATTCGAGTTCCATGAAGAAAACATTATTCATGTCTCAACTACAATTCATCAAACTAATACGTACTGCCCATAGCATGCAATTAATCAGTATCCGTCGAAAATAATTCGCATTTTGCGTTCCAATGAAATATTACATTTGCATGCAACTTCAGCAATTGCATGCAACTAAGTACGCCCGAACAACACAATCGCCCATTCCCTAATCATACATTACCTATTGTGTAAACCACTGACCGCCGTGATGATAGCGTGGCGCATTGAAAAACGCAGTTTTTTGAAAATGCAACATTCAAAAATGATAGATAAATATTTGCGTATTTTTTGGCCGTTATCAACATTACTTTATATGAAACAATCGTCAGACATAGTATGAAATATTATAATATCAAACGCATAGTGCGTTATTTCGGCCAATCTTATATTCACGAATGATAGGGAGAGAGATAGAGACGGGCGTGAACGCTTGAAATAAATGCAAGAAATCAAAAGTAACGAATCGATGTGATTGAACTTGATCAGAACATTGGATAGGTGAGAACTGATTTTCATTCGTGAAAAAAAATAGATAGATATACATGAAAGTTAAGTTTGCTAAAAGAAACGCACAGCAATGCACGTGATGAATAACAGCAACACAAACACGAACACATCTCGCAATTAATTGCTCATGCCCTCGAGCCTATCGCACATTTCTCACTTCTGATATCATTCCAACTGCTCTGATGGTCAGTGATTAAACAACGGCGCTCAACTAGAAGAGTTATCAATTTTCCCTATCTACACACTCGATTTTCAACGGACAACTTGATTGATTC